CCAGGTTATGCCGGTGTGTTGGAAAATGGGGTGATGAAATAACAAGCTGAATGTTGTGAGGACCATTTGGGAGCGAGTTACACCGTGCGGTCGCACAGATAGATCATTACAGTCTGAGGAGAATGGCACTGCGAGGAGTTACAAGGGGATCTGGTCGACGCTCGACACTCAGGGAAAAGGCGAGACGGATATACAATCAGACAGTTACTGGTACCATCGGAATTTTAACTTTTCGCTTGCTGCTGAAGATGGGGACAGAGTGCTTATGGGGGTGTCCCGAGTGGTGTGATGTCGATTCAAACATTCAACATTCAAGGATGTGAAGGTTTCTTCTCGCGTTGTCTTACTCTGTCACAATTTCAATTAATCTGTCCAGGTTTCAAATTTTTTTTTTTTAATGGCTTATGTTTGTAATTATTTATGTGCGTTTAAGTTTTTTTTTTTTTTTACGCATAAAAACAATTCTTATTCGCTGTCCATTGAATTTTTCAGGATCCATCGGTTAAACCGCATACTTGTGACTTCAAAAATTAAAAAAAAAAAAAAAAAGTTTTCTTGCTTATTCGACATTGACGATGATGGTGATGATGATGATGATGGTGGTGGTGGTTGTGAATAGATAGTCTTCTTCTTCTTGTTCACCGTTTGTAAACTCTGGCGGAAAGTTCATCTACTTCTGGCCTGCAGTCCTGTTCCACAACCTGAGTGTTGCGTGTGCATCCGTTAATGTAAGCGACGAAGTGACGCAACTAGGTCAACACACAAGGCAACTATTCTGTAAAGTTATAAATATCTCCGCAAGCAACACATCTGCACCGCATCAGGTTGCCGTTGCCAAAACTAACAACCCCACTAGGAGTGTTGATATTTTTTATGCAATTCTGCTTGCCAAAACTAACAAAAACTGTAGTCGACCTGGCAAAAAGCCCACATCTGTCTAACAGAAAAAAAAAAAAAATAGGTTAACTATATTAATCTGTGTGTAGACTCCAGGTTTATGTTCGTTCTTTCTGTAGTGACATACTTCGAAGTGAACTTTCGAGAACATTCTTTGTCTAGATTCTTTTTCGTCTTTCGATGCAGTGCCAACTGGCACGATCTGTTTACAATTAATCATTTTGCAAGATGCTATTTTTAAATTTAAAAATAAATAAATTTAAATCTTACTATGCAAGGAAATGAATAGGCTGCTGAAGCTACTGCGCTGCTGCTGTTTCTGCTGCTACTGTATCTGCTGCTACTACTACTGTTGTTGCTGCTGCTACTACTACTACTGTTGCTGCTGTTTTTACTGCTACTACTGTTGCTGTTTTTGCTGCTTCTGCTGCTACTACTACTTTTGCTGCTACTGTTGCTGTGGTGTTGTATCAACAGCACTATTGGCTGTAGTAGTTGTTGTAATACTATTAAGTATGGTTTTAGTAAAGGTCTAGTAGTAATTTAGTAGTAGCAGTAGCAGCAGCAGCGATAGTAATAGTAGTCGTAATAGTAGCAGCAGTAGTAGTAGCAGTAGAAGGAGAAGGCGTTGGTAGTGATGTAGATAGATAAATGATAGTGGTGATATTGGTAGTAATGGCTCCTTCAAAGTCGGAGTGCATCTGCCCGAGTGGTAAGGTACAACCCCTATACACAAATATGCCAGTTAGACAAATGCACACGCAAAACTCAGGCCCTGGCACAAAGCCAAAGTCCAAATAGACGAACAACCAGGACCTTCTATTGGAGCTTACAGCCAGGGAACAATGAAAAAGAAGAAGTAGTAGTAATGGTGTTGTTGTTGTTTGTTTTAGTATCCAGAAGCCATGAGTTGTTAACCCTTAGGCTCGGTATTATGGATATCGCAACCTTTCGGCCTTTATTCCATTGTAAATACCGTAAATCTGGGAGAAAATGTGGCTTTTCTGCCTACCCCCGGGAGTGAACCCGGACCACTTGGAGTTCGTCACCCGCTCACCGCGCAATCCGGTTTAGCCAACTACGCTAGAGAGACGGGCGTAGTAATGGTGTAAATGAGAATAACACAACATGCGCATTTAATTGTCAAGGAAGATAACCAAATAAATGAATTCAGATTTTTTTATAAACAGGATTATGTCCACTTGTTAATGAGACATACACACTCACAAACACACCAAGGGCCATCTGGCGTGTGCATACATAGACGCATACACAAATTCATACATGTGCATATTATTAAACCAAAATGTGATATTTAAAACGAAGGGAATGTACTTAAATCAAATCAATACATTCAGCAATTGTTCAACAGGTGTTTTGTCCTTTTTAGGACGAAATTGTTTGTTATTTGAAGCCCCACCCTGGCTTTCGCCATGGGCCGCCATATAGACAGGTCATAAATATGGTAAATTGTCTGAACGCGGTTTCTGGGACCTCCCTACCGCGATCCTCTTACACATGGTGGCACTTTGTGTCATCGGGTGTTATCGCTTGTGTGATGTCCTAGTTGGGTAGAAAGTCAGTCATCATACATTCATTTTGGGCTATCCTCCGAATAACGGGCACATATTATGGCGGCCGCAAAAACACTTCAACAGAGCCTCAGTCACGTGTCATTTGCGCACTTCCGGCGACCTAATTTACCATTTTCCGGCGACTACCGCCACCGCCGAGTGTATCCCTCACGCCGCTCACGCTGCGTGGATTGGAGCTAAACTAGATGGCTGGGACTGACGAGCAGCAGGCTTCCGCATCTCCTACAGCTTTGCTCATGTCCCAACCATCTAGTTTATCACCAATCTAGGCCGCGTGAGGGATACTCTCGGCGGTGGCGGTAGTCACCGGAAAACCGCAAATTAGGTCGCAGGAAGTGCTCAATTGACACGTGACTGAGGCCCTGTTTTTGGCCGCCATAATATGTGCCCGTTATTCGGAAGATAGCCTTCATTTTGTATGGTAATTATAACATTAGATAGAAATTTAATTTTTACAAATCTTCGCCGCTGTACATTAGACATTCCCACGCTGCTGTGTCCTACGATGCAGCAGCCACTCCGGGATACCTCCACTGATAGTTCGTATGTGAAGCTGGTCGAATGAAAGAGGCGTGGCAGTCTGAGAGCAGGATATGTCAAGGTTAGAAAACAAAATACTTAACACTTTGCTGACGAGCAATCCAGTGCGTTATTGTCTCCCATTACCAAGGGTAATTTACTTCAAAGTGACTGCCGACTCTAACGACATGCTTTTGTGTAGGCAGTATATTTTCTCCTTATCATCAAGTGCCTAGCCGATGGGCAAGTGTGATCATACGCCTTCACTTATATCTGCAACTGCGTGTATCAGTTCATATTCATGTGTTAAGACCCCTCTATGCCACGACAAAAAGCTATCAAGAATCTCCTTACGTTGTCTGCCTCCGTCTCTCTTTCCCTTGCATCTTTTCAGTGGTTAAATAAGTTTCCTTCTTCTCACAACAAGGCCAAACGTACGAATATCTTTTACCCTGACATGTCCAACAGGCCCTGGCACTGACGGAAGTCGGCCCTGGCAGAACAAAAGAGAATAAACAAACAAACCGTCCTAGCTACCGGGGGTTTGGGAGAGAACAGAACCGTTTGTAGACTTGTACACAGAATTCTCCACACACATACACGAAGTAAGCTGCCACTGCATACATAGCCACACGTACAGAAGATAGTCAGTTTCAGTGCTAGTAATTTATGAAGAAAAATTCATTGGACAGCAAAAAAAGAGCAACTTCAACCCATATGTTTTATTTTTATTTTTAAAAGTAAAAGAGGCGAATGCTCGAAGACATCACAAACATCAGTCACAAATAGACAGTCGTAATTTTTTTTTTTTTTGGGGGGGGGGGGGGGGGGGGTCGTGTTATGAGAAGAAGGAAACTGGAGCAAGTTATGACCACTGAAAAGATAGGGGCAGAGAAAATATGAAGATTCTTGCTAGTCTTTTGTCGTGGCATGGAGGGGTGTCAGCACATGAACTGATACACTGAGATTAGTGCAGAGGCATGATCGCCTATGCCAGTCGGCAGGGCACTTGATGATGATTATGCAATTACAACGAAAATACACCTCAGTTATTATCCATAAGAGACATGGGATAATACCACAAAAGTTCTTGTGACTGCATCCCTTCTGTTGTTACAAATTACACCAACAGATTAGTTCTTATGACCACTGTTTAATTCTTTTTTAGTTTTATACAGATTAATTGGTTATGTTGACTCAATGGGTCAGTATTCCAGTTCCCTTTTAAAAGGGCTGTACACGGACAATCTTGCAGAACTAACAAATTCAGTTGCTGTTGATTTCTTAATGCAGATCAGATAAAAATAATTTGAAATTGTCCAGTTCTGACCCTTCAGTGAAACAGAAATGTGCTAGGTAAAGGAAAGGATCCCATATCACAAGGCTCAGTGGGTATATGATTCTGTATTTTTACGAACCAGCTGTTGTGATGTAATAATACGCAGGCGTCTACTTTCATTCCAAGAGCATGTTCAAAGACCTATGTTAGGTTGATCTGGACAAAGTCCCACATCCCCTCCCGTAATTATCTTAACGTGGATTCAAACACACTCCTTGACTGACAGGCGAGTGTGCTAGCCAGTATATCCCATTTCAACAATTAATTTTTGGATTTGCTTTCCCTAGCCTTTGACTGTCCCAAGTCTACCTGCAAGGCAACATTTGGAGTTCCTCTTTGTCTGGTTTTTCTCCCTTGACGAAGAAGAACCTGCCGTTATAGCTGAGCTATAGTCAGCATAGCTTTTCGGGTCACTGGGACACAAGCTTCTCCACCACTACAAGGGGAGATAACAGAGGTGATGACCTGATCTAGACTTCTAAACATAGGAAACATTGCAAGAAGAGAACCAGTCTCTCAAAATGATGGCATCACTTCCCAAAGATCACAGAGGAGTGCAGATATTACACCAACTTAAAGTCTGGATTCAAACATTATAGACTAGTCACACCTGGTCACTGATTATTTAGCTGAGGGAGAAACCTTCCAATATGCAGACAGATGCAGAGCTGCATGTCGGGGATTCCTTTGATGACTTTAGCAGTCTCAAATGGGCAGTGGAAATGTTTGAGAAGTCTCAGAAGTCCAATTACTGGATACGGGATTGTCGCACCATTGAGGCTGCCCAGAAAAAAGGGATCAAACGAACAATGAAAGAATCACTGATTTACTACAATCTCACCTGGGCATGTGTGAAAGGGGGTCGCAGTTATGATGAAAGGTAAGCTTGATGTTTTTCTTTCCTAATTGTACACCAGCTGTATGTTGTTCTTCTTTTTCTTCCACTTCTTCAAGAAATGTCTTGAGAAATAAAGGCAGCCAACATAATGTTGACCTCATCATCCACCAAGTGATGATAGGTCTATAAAAAAAAATATAGCATTGATGCAACAGAAGATATGAAAAAAGTCCTTTTTTAACTTGGTTATGTATGATATTTCATTTATTGTGTTTCTATTTCAGTATTTACTGACCTAGATTCCTGTATGGGTTCCGGGACCCCACTGTGGGGGAAACAAGAATAATACTTTATGCCTCCCCAACAAGCATGTCGTAGGAGTTGACTAACTTGAGGCTTTCATCAAAGTCGGTAATGTATCTGCCTGAATAGCAAGGAACCAACAGTCTGCATAAAGATAAGTCAGATCTGTTAAAATTATGTTCTGGAACAAGACTGAAAGCCAGAGGTGGACAAACAACCAGAATTTTGTGCCGCAGTTACAGCCATAAAACGCGAAGAAGACGAAAATTTAAAATATAGCTGGCCTAGAGATTGTACGACACCATGTTGTGTCTATTTATTTTTCAGTAATAGCTCATCAAGAGGTTTTACAGAGGTTAAATAACCCACATTATGTTTTATGTGTAGATTTCAGTATTTTCTGTCCTGGTACACACATTTTGCTTTCACATATATATTGATTGTATATATAGGTTTCTAATATCCTTTTTTAGGGAAAAAAAGAGGGGGGGGGGGGTATGCATATGCTCACCTAGAGGTTATATCATGCAGATTATGTTTTCATGTATATTTCTGAATTCACACATGTCGTATTTGTATTTATGAGGGATGTTCAAAATCAGCCTCCTATTGGCCGGTAAAATTTAAAAATATTTGACAATAACATCTAAATACATACAAGAGCTTCATACATCACTGCATTACTTTTCCACAGTCACCACCTAATTCAGGCACTTGTACGGTGGCACCACCTAATTCAGGCACTTGTACGGTGGCACTACCTAATTCAGGCACTTGTACCGTGGCACCACCTAATTCAGGCACTTGTACCGTGGCACCACCTAATTCAGGCACTTGTACGGTGGCACTACCTAATTCAGGCACTTGTACGGTGGCACCACCTAATTCAGGATCTTGTACGGTGGCACTACCTAATTCAGGCACTTGTACCGTGGCACCACCTAATTCAGGCACTTGTACCGTGGCACCACCTAATTCAGGCACTTGTTGTACCATGGCACCACCTAATTCAGGCACTTGTACGGTGGCACCACCTATTTCAGGCACTTGTTGTACCATGGCACCACCTAATTCAGGCACTTGTTGTACCGTGGCACCACCTAATTCAGGCACTTGTTGTACCATGGCACCACCTAATTCAGGCACTTGTTGTACCGTGGCACCACCTAATTCAGGCACTTGTACCGTGGCACCACCTAATTCAGGCACTTGTTGTACCATGGCACCACCTAATTCAGGCACTTGTTGTACCATGGCACCACCTAATTCAGGCACTTGTTGTACGGTGGCACCACCTAATTCAGGCACTTGTACGGTGGCACCACCTAATTCAGGCACTTGTTGTACCATGGCACCACCTAATTCAGGCACTTGTTGTACCATGGCACCACCTAATTCAGGCACTTGTACCGTGGCACCACCTAATTCAGGCACTTGTACCGTGGCACCACCTAATTCAGGCACTTGTTGTACCATGGCACCACCTAATTCAGGCACTTGTACGGTGGCACCACCTAATTCAGGCACTTGTTGTACCATGGCACCACCTAATTCAGGCACTTGTTGTACCGTGGCACCACCTAATTCAGGCACTTGTACCGTGGCACCACCTAATTCAGGCACTTGTTGTACCATGGCACCACCTAATTCAGGCACTTGTTGTACCGTGGCACCACCTAATTCAGGCACTTGTACCATGGCACCACCTAATTCAGGCACTTGTTGTACCATGGCACCACCTAATTCAGGCACTTGTTGTACCATGGCACCACCTAATTCAGGCACTTGTTGTACGGTGGCACCACCTAATTCAGGCACTTGTACGGTGGCACCACCTAATTCAGGCACTTGTACCGTGGCACCACCTAATTCAGGCACTTGTTGTACCATGGCACCACCTAATTCAGGCACTCGTTGTACCATGGCACCACCTAATTCAGGCACTTGTACCGTGGCACCACCTAATTCAGGCACTTGTTGTACCATGGCACCACCTAATTCAGGCACTTGTTGTACCGTGGCACCACCTAATTCAGGCACTTGTACCGTGGCACCACCTAATTCAGGCACTTGTTGTACCATGGCACCACCTAATTCAGGCACTCAATGTACCATGGCACCACCTAATTCAGGCACTTGTACCGTGGCACCACCTAATTCAGGCACTTGTTGTACGGTGGCACCACCTAATTCAGGCACTTGTTGTACGGTGGCACCACCTAATTCAGGCACTTGTTGTACTGTGGCACCACCTAATTCAGGCACTTGTTGTACCACGGCACCACCTAATTCAGGCACTTGTTGTACCGTGGCACCACCTAATTCAGGCACTTGTTGTACCATGGCACCACCTAATTCAGGCACTCATTGTACCATGGCACCACCTAATTCAGGCACTTGTACCGTGGCACCACCTAATTCAGGCACTTGTACCGTGGCACCACCTAATTCAGGCACTCGTTGTACCATGGCACCACCTAATTCAGGCACTTGTACCGTGGCACCACCTAATTCAGGCACTTGTTGTACCATGGCACCACCTAATTCAGGCACTCGTTGTACCATGGCACCACCTAATTCAGGCACTTGTACTGTGGCACCACCTAATTCAGGCACTTGTTGTACCATGGCACCACCTAATTCAGGCACTTGTTGTACCATGGCACCACCTAATTCAGGCACTTTTTGTACCATGGCACCACCTAATTCAGGCACTCGTTGTACCGCGGCACAAAGTTTTGTAACCCCATTCAAGGAAGAATGCTGCCAGTATACTGAGCCAGTTGTTAACTCCATCCATGAGCTCACCAGGGGTGTCGAAGTGCTAGGTATCCACCCAGATCTTCATCTGATTGGTCTGGGCTGTAAGGCTGGGGTGGGGGTGGTTGAACATGTCCCACTCAAACTGCTCAAGTGAAACCTTTGTGCGAGCAGCAGTACATGGCCGCATGTTATCCTACAGGATAATGACAGAACTGGTGAGCAGTCAGACAGTTACTGGTGCCATCAGAATTCTAACTCTTCGTTTGCTTCTGAAGATGGGGACGGAGCGCTTGTAGGGGTGTCCCCAGTGCTATGGTTTCAATTCTTAATTCAGCATTCATTTTGGCGAGCATTCTGCACCTTTTTTATGATCGACCGACAAAACTTCTTCACTGATTCGTAATATACTTGTGTAGTTAATTTGGTCCGTAGTGTCATGAATTCCAACAGCAAAATGACTTTGCGGTCCAAGAACACTGAAATCATAAATGTTTGTAGCAAAAATGTTTGCTTGAATTGGGGGGTGGGGGGCTTTTGTTCGGAAAATGAGTAAGCATCCGCTGTTTTGACTTCCATCCTTCCATAGCACGAAGCTTGGGCAGTATTGTAGAGACCATGTTAATCCATGCATCATGATCCCTCTCTTGCCCTGCCTTGTTTACTCCAAAAGAAAGGTAGCAGCAAAGTTATGTTAAATACCTTGTTTATTATATATCTTTTGTTTGTTTCAGTATTCGCTCCCCTAGAGGTGATTGCGGCTCCTGTGTGAAAGTGGCTGTGAGTAAAGATGGCCAGAGTTTGGTAGTTAAAGACATTTGCACTAAACACAACCACGACACATCACAGGTATGTATTTCTTTTCTTCTTCCTATTCTCCTTTTACTCCTTCATCCTATTCTCCTTTAACTCCTTCTTCCTATTCTCTTCTTCCTGTTTTAGCAGATCGTATGTTATTCACCTTTTACAGCATGTTTGTTAACTCTTTCAAGCCCATAGAATTTGACAGACTTGGCTGGACTCATATTTTTATAGAGCAGTCAGCGCATGACAGGTTAAAACTGGAAATAATTTATGGAAAAAGATGGTTCTTTATTTTTAATTCCCCCCTAAAGGAAATCCCGGAGTTTCTAGGAAAGTCCAGTATACTAGAGGTGTTATTGGTTGGGATCTTTGTGAGCCCCAACTGCCTCAGAGACACAGACTAACTATAACCCTAACTCCAACCCATAACACCCCTAGAATATTGAACTTTTCTGGGAACTCTGAGATTTCCTTTGTTTGGGGTGAATTAAAAATAAGGCAATAAAAATATAGAGGAAGACAGTTGAAGAGAATTCTTGAGAGCCTTTTGTCATGACACGGAATAGTGTCAGCACGTGAACTAATACGCGCTGTTGGAGATCGCAAGAGGTGCACGAGCATGTTCACCCGTGCCACATGTGTGTTCTTATTCCTAGAGAATAAGCTGACAACAACACACTGTATGTTGGTTGGGACAGGAAGAATTAAACAGGGCTTGCTGAGAGTTGTATATGTAGGATTCTCATCCTTGAATTCTAATCCTGTGGATTACAATCCTGGAGATGACAGATTGCAGTACAAAACTGCGCAATCACAATATGTAAATAGACCAGCCAGCATTCAGGTGTTTGATATGGTTAGTAATAAACATCCGTTTTAGATAATCTCAGTTTCGGATTATCTGCTGAAGTAATTTATTTTGTTCTCTACCCCAGGAGACTTTTGAGCGGCTTCCGAAGCAGAAACGTCTGTCAACAGATAATATACAGAAAATTACAAAGGTGAAAAGGGAAAAGAAAGACAAGGTACTGAAGAACCCAGCCAGAAAGATCATTCAGCGTAACCTTGTCAAGAAAGCTGGCAAGGTCACAAAAATTAAAAAGTTTGGCAGCAATAATATCAGTGGCTCCAAAAAATATCTGGCCCGTCCACGTTCTCTCCAGGATTTTGTTGATAACCTGCGTCTGAATGGAGGTATGTGGGAATGTGGGTTCTAGATAGGGGCAGTATCAAAACTGAGATGTTTGTTATGTGTCTCGTTGAAGTCTGTATAAAGGTTGTCCCATCGAAGTCTGTATAAAGGTTGTCTCGTTGAAGTCTGTTTAAAGGTTGTCTCGTCGAAGTCTGTATAAAGGTTGTCTCATTGAAGTCTGTATAATGGTTGTCTCATTGAAGTCTGTATAAAGGTTGTCTCGTTAAAGTCTGTATAAATGTTGTCTCGTTGAAGTCTGTATAAAGGTTGTCTTGTTGAAGTCTGTATAAAGGTTGTCTCATTGAAGTCTGTATAAAGGTTGTCTTGTTGAAGTCTGTATAAAGGTATGTTTTAAATATGTCTTGTCGAATATGTGCATTGGAGTAGAGTTATTTGTTGCATATGTTTTGTTGACTATATATATATATATATATAGTCTCATAATTCTTCGTTTCCCCAGCTCTAAACTCTGGCAGAAAGCTCTGGTTGTTTGCCCCCTTATGAACTTATTCCATAATCTGAGTTTTGCCCGCATATCTGTTTTACAGATCTGGCTTTTTTTAAATGCAGACTGTTGGTTATTGCCTCTCAGGCAGTGCCTCTGACTTCAAAGAAAAAAACTCTTTATTTACCCCTACTCCCCCTCCCTCCCTTTTCAATGGTGTCACAAACACACAAAGGGAATATATAAAACGAAAAAAATGTTGAAGTAAGGGTATTTGTTGAATATGTCTTGTCTTGTTAAACTGTATATTAGTCCGGCGTGGGTCCTGGGGCCCCATTTTCACATTCCAGAACAAGGCTTAAATCCAGAAGTGGACAAACAACCAGAACTTTCTGTCAGAGTTTACAAACAGTGAATGCGAACGAGGAGAAGAGAATTCACAAAACAATTCCGGTCAACTGTTTTAGGCTGGGTCAACTCGGAAACCCTAAATCATTTATAAGATTCTGTTAGAGGGTAGATTTGAACCCAAGACCATTAGACTGGCAGGCAGGTACGGTGGTACCTCCGAATTCTAAGATAATCTGTTCCGAGACGGCGTCAAATTCCAAATCTTTTGAGTTCCAAGACAATTTTTTCCTCTTGAAAATAATCTGTATATATTTTATCTTTTTCTCTGCCTAATGCTGTTAGGCATCACAGGCAGGATGATAATTGGTTTTTGATAGTGCGCGCTAGTTAGCTTCGCTGCATTAGGATATTGTGGAGTTTCAGCAAATTTTTTTGTTTTTTAACTTGACAAGAGTTACTCCATGTGGATACCAAGGCGCTTTTTGGGCGGAGGGGGCAGGGAAAGAATAGGCCCACTGCTACCCTAATAAGCATGTCGTAAAAAGCTGCTAATTAGGTGTTTACTGAAATGTATGTGTTGAACCAAAAGGCACAGACATAACAACCTAGCTGTAAACTGCAGTGTACTGACTCCCCTTTAAGGAGAAACACAGAAAAAGAAGAACTTGTCAAGAGTGAGACCAATTCAAAAAAAAAAAAAATCATTTTTATGAAGTAAAGTAAAGTAGTAAATTTCGCTTTTTACGCCTTATACGCATAGGGCATACGGGAAGAGCACCCATATTTTTACAGACCAATCGGCAATAGGTAGGTAGTGCGGTCAGCATTGCGCCAGCCGTCTTTACTTTCCCAGGACATACATCTTGGTACCCATTTGAGGCCTGGTCGTCCTGTGACACCCCATACCACGATAAAACTCCACGCAGCCAGCAGTGGGTTTCGATCGCTGTACGCTGGAATTACGGGTCGGACTCGCGACACCTAAGCCATGGACGCCACTCATTCTTATGATCTGTTGCTAAATCCTCCTGTTTAGTTTTCTAAGACTGTTCTCATTTGACACTCTCAAACTGTTGATCATTTGCTTTCAGATGTCACAGTTGAGGTCATGGAGGATGACAAGGGCAACATGAAGGGCATTTTCTGGCAAGATGGACTCATGAAAACTAGATTTGACAGTTACCCAGAACTGTTGATAGTTGGATCCGCTTGTGATCTCAACAGGTTGAAAACCTCTGTCATTTTCCAGGTCATTGTCGACGGTAATGGAGAGACTGAGGTGGCATCAGTATTCCTGACGTCTTCAGATGACGTGGATACGTTTACGTCCCTGGTGAACATATTTCGCAACCATAATGCTGCCTGGTTGAGAACCAGGACGATTCTGACCAGTAAAGAGTTGAAGCATAGACATGTGTATAGGTCGTGTTTTCCAGATGCCAGTTTGCACATTTGTAGGGTGCAAGTAGTTGAAGAAATGAAGAAGGACATCTCTGAAAATAAAATATGTGTATCTCCCATTGAGAAGGTCGGGGTTGGGGCACTGCTTGAGAAGATGGCACAGGCTCAGTCTCTCGACTGTTATGATGGTATATATGATGAGCTTCAGAATACAGGGCTGTCCAAAGTGATGAACTATTTTAACCAGAAGTGGCACCCGTTGAGAGAAGAGTGGGTTACTGGATTAAAGACTTCAGTTCATTTCTGTAATGAGACCTTACACAGGCTAGATGTCTTATTTGATAAGGTGAAGGACGCTGTTAAAAAGTCTTCCCCGCTACCTCATTTCTGCCAGGATTTACAGAAGGCTCTACAAGTTCTTCAGAAGGAGGCAGATTCTCGTACAGCTGCCGAAATATCAAGTCAAGCAGGACAAGTATATGAGCAAAACACTGTTGAACACCGATTTGCCAGTTTTTTAACACCTTATGCGTTTTCCAAAGTGCTGTCTCAACTTCATCACAGTTCTAGCATAAAAATGGATACAGAAATCTGTGATGTGACAAGTCCTATTAGCTTGGTGACGACAACAGACAGCGTCATGGTGTCTGCAACTTCCTGTTCCTGTCAGTATTTTACAACAATCTGGCTCCCTTGTCAGCACATATTTGCATTTCGACAAAAGGCAAGACTTGACCTTTTCTTTGAGGACATTGCTCAGCGGTGGCATTTATCGACAATTAAATCTCTTTTGCATGTCCAGCCGAAATCTTCATCACAAATGACCGTAGCTCGATCGGAAAGATTGCACAAAGGACCGTCCCTTATGTCACAGCCAGATTCACAAAATTCCCACTTTCATTATCAGAAACCTCAAGTCTGCTGGCCTCCGTACGCCCCGACGCACATGAATGGACATCTGACAGATATGTCCCAGGCACAGAAGTTTGAGTCGCTGCTAGTGTACGCCCAGAGACTTGCCCAGTTGGGCAGCGATGCTCCGATGGGAAAATTTATGAGACGCAGAGAAACTCTGTCTCGACTTATTGAGTCTTGGGAGAGGGGAGATGACTTGGAGGATGAAAATTTGTCTTCTAACTCTTTTGTAAGTTGTTTCTGCTTTGTGGTTTTTATTTTCATTGCATCATCACCGTATGCTGTACTTGTTACGTGTTACCCGTATCGACATCCTAGCGCACTGGTCTGACCCAGTTGTTGTTGTTCCGTCATGTGACGCAACAGCCATCTCAGTGTCTCCATGCTGACTGTACCCAGTAGGTGTTGACTGGCAGATCTTCTGTCTTGATGTTCTATACAGATAAGTGTACTGATAAGTCAGAATACTCCAGCTCTCATGAACACCAGGTTGTGATCAGGTCTTACCTGTGTGAGTTTCATGGTTCTGTTTTATGGAAAAGAAAAAGAAAAAAACAGACCAATTCTCCCCCTCCCCCACCCCCAACTAGCATGTAATTTTGTTTTTTTAAATATCCGGAAACCATGAGTTGTTAACCTTTTGGCTCGGTACTGTGGATATCGCAACTCTTCAGCCTTGATTTGATGATAGAATGTGGCTTTTCTGGCTACCCCTAGGCGTGAACCTTGACCGCAAGGAGTTCATCACCCAGTCGCCGCTCAGACATGTTTAACCAACTGAGATAGAGAGCCGGACGCCTAAGCATGACAGTAAGGGTGACTAATTAGGTATGTTTCCTTTGAAGTTGGAGTGCATCTGCCTGAAAGGCAAGGAACCAACAGTCTGCCTACTACTTAGCCAGATCTGTAAAATGGATATGCACGTAAAGCTCTTCTGGAACAAGACCATTGTCTAGAGGCGGACAAACAACCAGTGAACACTGAATTGATTCAGGAACTCGCATCACAGCACTAGGGGGGTATTCCCATAAGTGCTACATCACTATCTTCAGCAGCCAGCACAGAGTTCCAGTACCAATGGTACTTATTATGTCCATTTTGCTGCCTTTCTTCTTAGCGTCGAGTATCGACCAGAACCCTGTATCACTCCCCGCTACATCACTCTCATCAGACTGTGGTGATCCCTTTGCTCCTCTGAATTGTACAGGCTCTCTCACAAGGCTCTATCTACGTCTGCCTTAATATGCATCAGTATTCCACCAGTTTGTGCAGAGTCAGCCCGTGAGCAATGAAAAGAAGACGGATCAGGTCTGACAGTCTGTTAAAAAGTCTGTGAAGATGAATTAGAGAGAACACACCAAACATTACAGACCACAGCATGGCAGTATAAATAGCCTTGGCAGACACACGCAGACCAGAATTTTGAGACACAGAATGAAACACTTTAAACTTAGAACTCACCTACACCAAACAGGCCTCACTGACTGTGCCACATATGACAGGTTCAGAACACTGTAGAGCCCACATTTGACCAGTCAAAGAGAAGAAATCTGGCCCATAGAAGTTGCTCTGCAAGACAAAAACTACAAAACACTGGGTGAGACTTCAGGTGTGCCGCCCTGTTTGTGAACTGTGCTAGAATAGAATCATAGCTGAAGAAGAAGGATCAGGTCTGCACTTATTTGAGAAGGTTAGATATCTTCCCCATGTAGGTTCCGTGGGGGAGTTGTGGGAGAAAAAAGAATAGACCCACAGCCCTGTAACAAGCATGTAGTAAGAGCCGACTAATTAGGGCTGCTTCCTTTGAAATGGGAGCGCATCTGCCTGAGAGGTGAGGAACCAACAGTCTGCATACACAAAAAAGCCATATCTGATTTGTAAACCAGATGT